ATGTCACTGAAGTGTACATGTAGAAATTTTTGAAATGGTGTATCTTTGGCTATGAATATTTTTACCAAAAAAAAAGGTCCTCCAAGGTCGAGAAGGGAGAGTGTTGACATGTCATGGGGTCGTTAAGCAATGTCATAAAACAATATGTGTACTGACTGTTTAATGAGAAACTATTTGTTCTGTAAACTTTCACCTAATGTACAATAAAAAAAATTTTTTTTAAAAACAAAAACAAGGAAACAGAATAGTGGCAAAATTTCTGTGGATTTTTATTTTTCAGATGTTTGCTGATTTGCACATATATGTGTGTCTTATGGGATGTGTGTATATGTGTGTTTTCCCCTAAAGACTATAATACCAAAAATCCCCTTTAGACCACAGGTAAAAGGGGATTTTTTAAAAAATAATTTTAATGTGTTTTAGGTAAAAGTTTACAGCATAAATTAGTTTTTCATTCAGTAGTCAATACACAAATTGTTTTGTGACATTGGTTGTAATCCTCACAATATGTCAGCGTTCTCCCCCTTTCCCTTTCCACCCTGGGTTCTCCGTGTCATTTATCTAGTTTTCCTGTCCCTTCCTACCTTCTTGTCTTTGCTTTTGGGCAGGTGTTGCCCATTTGATCTCCTATACTTAATTGAACTAAGAAGCACGTTTCTCACGTGTGTTTGTTTTATAGGCCTGTCTCATCTTTGGCTGAAGGGTGGATTTCGGGAGTGGCTTCAGTTCTGAGTTAGCAGGTTGTCCCGGGGCCGTAGTCTCAGGGGTTCCTGCAGTCTCTGTCAGACCAGTAAGTCTGGTCTGTTTTTGTGAATTTGAATTTTGTTCTACGTTTTTCTCCTGCTCTGTCCAGGACCCAGTCAGAGTGGTCAGTGGTGGTAGCTGGGCACCATCTAGTTCTGGGCTCAGGCTGGTGGAGGCTGTGGTTCACGTGATCCATTAGTCCTTTGGACTAATACTTCCCTCGTGTCTTTGGTTTTCTTCATTCTCCTTTGCTCTGAGCATGATGGGACCAATAGTTGTATCTTAGATGGCTGCTCTCAAGCTTTTAGGACCCTAGATGCTGTTCACCAAAGTAGGATGTAGAATATTTTCTTTATGAACTATGTCCTAGTTATGAACATTGACCTAGATGTCCCCCTAAAAGGGGATTTTTCTAAAATAAAAATCCACAGATGCCTGGCTTGGTTTGTGACTGGTGGTGAGATTCAAACAAACTATATGTCTTTTCTATGCTTTTCCTCTTTCTGTCAGCAAAATGGAAGGAGCCCAAACCTCCTTGTGTGCTTAGGCTCACAGTTAGAGGTGGCATGAGAAGCTTTAGGCTTTTCAGCTGGAAGCACCATTTAGGTAAAAGCCTGCTCTTATACATGAACACTTTTTTTCTCTTGCAAATCCTATTTCACACCGGCACAAGCTGTGGGACTGTGGCGTAGGAGAACTCATTTTCATCTCAAGCTCCTGCCTTACTAGGGCCAGCCCTCCTCATCCATCCCAGAGGCTGTCTGCCCAGGATATCCATTCTTGGGTTATGTACCCAGCCACAACAGGATGATGGGAGAGGAGAGCCTGCTGCAAACAGAGCTTGCTCTATTTAGTATGGCTTCTCTGAACCCCACAGGAATAGGGGCCAGGGGTTATTTCTTCTTAAGACTTAGGTTTCTGGGCTTTGGAATCAGAGAACTGGGCTTGCATCTTGGCTCACTGTGTAGCCCTGGGGAGTTTTTTCTGAATTAACTTCTGTGAAGTACAATCTGTGATAAAAACCAAACCAAACCCATTGCTGTTGAGTCGATTCCGACTCATAACGACCCTATAGGACAGTAGAACTGCCACATAGGGTTTCCAAGGCTGTGAATCTTTATGGAAGCATCAGCCTTTCAGTTAGCAGCTGAGTGCTTTAACCACTGTTTCACCAAGGCTCTTGTAAGATATGATACCTAACTTATATGAGTACCATATCATACAACGCCTTGTAAAGGTCCCAGCACACTGATACTCACAGGCAGCATAGCAAAGTGGTTCTGGAGACATTTTACCTGGATTGAGATCCTGACTGCTGCTTTCAAGCTGTTTAACCTTGGGCAATTTATTTTACCTGTTTTTGCCTCAGTCTCTTTATATGTTAAATAAGGATAATACTTTATAGAGCTGTTGTGAGGATTTAATGAGATGTAAAGCTCTTGGAACGGTGCACAGAGTAAACCCTTAGTCCATGTTAGCATTTATTATTAAGCTCTGTCTTTCCAAGAGGAATGGGTAAGAATTGATATGTGCCACCTCAGTATTTCTTAGCCTTGACTTTCAGTCCTGTAGTGTTTATTCCTCTTTCCTTAAGCCCCTCCCTGATTGCACTTCTCTCTCTGCCCTGATAGCTTGACTGTAGTAGATTCTGATGGAGCTACCAGCTCTACCACTGCAAGCCTGACAGTGAATAAAGCTGTGGATTACCCTCCTGTGGCTAACGCAGGCCCCAATCAAGTGATCACGCTGCCCCAAAACTCCATCACCCTCTTTGGGAACCAGAGCACCGATGATCACGGCATCACCAGCTATGAGTGGTCACTCAGCCCAAGCAGCAAAGGAAAAGTGGTGGAGATGCAGGTAGGAGGGAGTAGTTATTGTCTTCTTTTGCCCCAGGGAACTAGAGCTGCTGGCTTGGGTCACCCATCCAAGGCTTATTTCTGTTCCATTTTAATTACCAAAGTCAAGTTTGGATTAAAAAACAAAAAACACTCGCAAATCTAGAACATTTAAAGGGCCGTTAATTAAAAGGTTAGCAAAAATCTTTATCCAGGAAATGTTTAGTATTAGAGGAAAGGGCTGGATGAGGAAGGTTAGTTGTTTCAGATGACTCAGGAGTTAAACTACGTAGAAGCTAAAAGTGCACAAATTTTAGTAAGCTGTTTTACAAATTAGAGTAGATTGCCTTACTAGGTGGTGAGCATCTCTCTGGAGAGAATTAAGAAGAAACTAGATCTGTAACAGGCAGGTAACATATATAAATTTAAAAAATTGTATGGGAACTTTGGCAAACCAGAGAGCTTAATCCCTGACTAAGGGGGTCACGTCCAGCTGGTTGTTGCCATGTGGAAGTATGGTCTTAAAATATTGCCAGATACTAGGAAATAAACAAAGGCAAAAGTCTAGATCTTTATGTGAAAATGTCCAACTTTTAAGACACTCCAGGCCAGACAGAATGTCTGCAAACTGGATTCAGCCCGCTGGCTGCTGGTTTTTGCCCAGTGTTCTAGGAGAAGTTTGTGAACTGGAAGTTTGCCGTAAATTATTTATAATGTTCCTTCTGACACTCACAATTCTGTGATTCTAGATTTGGGGCATGGATTGAAGCCTACATCTCACCTGGTTTTAGTTTAACTGTTGTGTTAGGTTTTTCTGCTGCTGCAGAGTCTACACAAACCTGTAAGGGAACAGCATGATGTTAAAAGCAGCTTGAGTTGCTGCCATATCTTATTGAGAAGACTTTCTTAGGATCACTCCATGGCCTTAGTAGGAAGAGCAGCTTGTTAACATTGTTATTTTAACTGTGTTGTTTCATTATATGCTCGTGATGTTCTTTCTGGCTTGGGTCACAGAGACTGATCTTGGTTTTCTCTGCATATTTTCCCATACTCCCCTCCCTTGTGAGAGTTCTGGCTTCATTTGAAACTGCTGCTGCATCAGGGAAGACTGTTCCCTTGAAGGGGGAAACTTTTAGCAAGATGTTCCCAGATGTCTGATTCAGCATTCACAAATTATGCTGAACTAAGATGTAATAGCCCTGATAACAACTTAGATTTAGAAAACTGGGCAAATCATTTCCACCACGGTAGGAGTTACTGTGTGATGTTCTGATTCTGGTAGTCTGCTTTTCCATTTGTCTATATTTATCAATGCAGGGTGTTAGAACACCAACCCTTCAGCTCTCTGCAATGCAGGAAGGAGACTACACTTACCAGCTCACAGTGACTGACACAATAGGACAGCAGGCCACAGCTCAAGTGACTGTTATTGTGCAGCCTGGTAAGTTCCAAACTTGTAGTGCAGGCTCTTCTATTGGCTGGTCCCTCTAACCTTGGGAGAGAGTAGGGTTTGGGTTCTGAGCTGTGTGAGGATGGTAGCAAGAGGCACAAATCCATGAGGCCCGGGGCAGCCTCTGTTGTCCATTCCCTTGTGCTTTCTTCACAGCTAGAGAGAAAGAGTACTTTCTAGCCTCCACTTGTACCCTTGCCCTTGGCTAGTTATTGGGCTTTCAGGGAGACCTAGGAGCTAGAGTCTCTGCCATCCCAAGTCCTATATGTCCTTTAAGAGCCAGCTTAGAGTGCATTTCCACAAGAAAGCCTTCCTTATCACTCAAACTCTTTCATTTGAGCTCATATAACATTATATTTCAAATTTAACGTGGCATTATAACTTCATTTTGCTCTGCCATGTTTTTTCAGGGTTGTTTTATATGTTTTAGTCTTAAATTCTTCATTGTGAGCTCCTTGACTGTTATCCATATCTCCCACAGTATCTGACAGTCTGTAGGCTGAGAGGCAGAATACCCATGGCTTCCAGAGTATATGTCCCAATTGATTCCTCTCCTTTCCCAGCTGGACTGGCTGCTTTTGACCTCCACGTCTCTGTCTTCTAGAAAATAACAAGCCTCCTCAGGCAGATGCAGGCCCAGATAAAGAACTGACCCTTCCTGTGGACAGCACAACTCTGGATGGCAGCAAAAGCTCGGATGATCAGAAAATTATTTCGTATCTCTGGGAAAAAACCCAGTGAGTATTGACACAAAACCCTTATGCAAAGCCTCCAGACCTTTGAAGTACAAGGTCTTACTTACTTTTAAGAGGTAACTTGCTATTATTGGCTTATTCAGGGGGTGACTGAGAAAGAAATGTTTATAATCCTAAACTTCAGTCTTAAGAAAATCATCTTATAGGTACTTTTTGTAAGAAAGAATGCTTACCATCAGCTAGTCCCCAGACAGTACTGTGTGGTCCTGGTGCTTTTACAGGTACAATTCATCAGCTGAAATGCATAGTTTAATTACACTTTTGAGAGGCAGTATGGAAGGGGTAATGGAGCAGAAAAATACTGTTGCTCAAAATTAACTGGGTACGGCTGGCAGAGGAGATGAGGTAGAGCAGCTATTAAGGGGAATTGAAAATTCATCTACAAACTGAAAGCATTAATCTGTTATTGTTTCCTTGAAGACACCATTTACCATTATGTTAGCCAGAAGCCAAAGGCAGTAACCAAGATAGTACTAATTAAACTGGAATTGCCTGATCGAACCATTCCTAGTTCTCACAGTTTCTTTCAGCTCCTTTAAACCATAACAAATGGATCTCAGATTATATGCTGGGTCCCACAAGAAGCATAGGAATTCTAAGGACGATTTAAAAGCATTCTTTATTCCAAAGGTAGCAATCATAGGACAAACTGGTCTTATTTATTTGATTAGGAAATTAGAGATGGGTGGAAAAGGGCTATAGTTTCACTACAGAAACCACTTGATTCATGATTGCTGGAATTGGATTCTAGAAATGATTTCCCTTAGCTCTTGTTTCTGTCTTTTAGAGAACCTAATCTTCCTCAGCCCACTGTGTTTTAATTATAACTGTTTGTTGAAGATACAGCTGATAAACCTTTCAGTTGAGTTTTATTAGTGTTTAGAGCAGAGATAATGCTTAGCATAGCTTCTCGGAGGAAGAATCCGTTCCATAAGGGGTTATTAGGGTCAGGGGTTATAAGTTTAAAAAATAAAACAAAAACCTGGATGTCTGTGGATTTCTCTGGTGGTTCATTATTTTTAAGGAAAGCTCCAGGGCATTTTGATCTCGAGCTGAAGTGCTCTCTGGTTATGTGCAGCCTTGTGCCTGGGGGTTGGCATAGAGCTCACTCCCCTGCCTGCAGGTTGCTGTCTGAGGCCAGGAGAGGGGAAGGAATGGTGCAGGCTGTGCTGCGTCCTCTGTGGCTCCTGCCCAGGAGCTAGAAGGAACTTTACTTAGAGAGCTCCTGGGAAGACGGTATTGTCCTGAGAGTTCCTCTGCAACCTTGGCCCATTTCCCTTTCTTGACTTTTCATCAGGAGGAATTCTGGCATACAATTAAGAAATGCATTTTTGCGTCTTTGCTGGCGAGAGCTGAACCAACTACTGAGCCAGAAATGCTTTTCAGAAACATTACTTTTAAGTCATTCTTTTGATCAGTTACCTGTGCAGAGCACTTTCTTTCTTTTACAAACTGGAAGTAAAGAGTTTGAATGTTCTAGAAGCATATAAAAGATAAGGCTAGATGTGTTTGAAAGCTGGTGACTGGAATTTTCTGATCAGCAGGTCGCCTGTATTTTGGGGCCAAATGATACTTTGTTCGAATGGAATATTTTTAAACATGTCCTCTCAAGGTCTGGGAAACAATTGTTCATGTCTTAGCTGAGGCAATAATTGTCTCCTCCTGCTGAGTCAGGGAGCAGAGAGCAACAGACGGGTACCACTCCACCCTCTGATTTCTCTTTGTCCAGGGGACCTGACGGGGTGCAGCTGGAGAATGCTAACAGCAGTGTCGCCACTGTGACTGGGCTGCAAGTGGGAGCCTATGTGTTCACCTTGACTGTCAAAGATGAGAGGAACCTGCAAAGCCAGAGTTCTGTGAATGTCATTGTCAAAGAAGGTACCTCCCTGCCTGGGGCTGGTGCAGCAGACCCTTTGGATCAGAGAGCTGAGGAATCAGTCATGTCTTGTTTGGCTGCAGAGGTTGATTAGAGACAACAAGGGGGTGGGGAAGAAGCTCAGAGGGTGAGAGCAGCTGCTAATTGCTTCTCTAAAACAACCTTTAATTGAATGACTAAGGTGAATTTTTTTTTAACTCACTCCCTCCCTCACTCCCTTCCTTCCTTTTTCCTTCCTCCCGTTTTCTCTTTTTAAACAATTGAGTAGGTAAAGAACTAAAGTTTTTTCCCTTTGCATTTTTATTTTTGCCTGTGTGCTGCTAAGACCTGGGGGTTTCTGCGGCTCTCCTGCTAGCTACAGTGACACCTGCTGTCAGACATTAGAACGACCGTGCTGCACTGCAGCTTCCTATGCAGTCCTGTGAGCCTGCAAGCCGTGGCCAACTGGAGGCAAGACTTTGCTCCAGTGTGCAGGCACAGTGATCAGTTATGGCCTTGGGAGAGGGGTTCCATCACTGGTCATACGAAAAATCCTCAACTATGCAGTGTCCTCCAGTTTCGAGTACTGAACACTAACACCTGAGTAAGCAAGCAAGCTTCGAGTGGGGCCCCAGAGAAGAGCGGTCTCTCTCAGTAGCCTTTTTTAAAGTACTAAGGAAGGAATAAAAAAAGATCTTCAGAGAATAACACTTTAAACCATACTTGAAAAGAGAATATTAGCCGACTGAAACCCAAACTCCAAGGCTTTAAGCCCCTGTGGGCCTTTGTTCCCCACCATTGTATACCACCAAAGCAGAGAAATGGTTCCTTTCAGAGAGTCTGCTATAAGGAGACCACACTTGTCCCCACTGATGTACATGTCAGGAGAACATCTCTCTGGGTAGGACTGGAACTCCAGGACCTGCAGAGCTGGAGGCTTTAAATCTGCTGGTTGGTTGCTGGCACTTAATACAGTTTTCCATTGAAGATGCATTTAATGTTTAATTTCCCCATAAGCATCATAAAGAAGCAGTCCTTCTTATCCAGAAAATTACATTCTTTCAGTGATTTTCTCTTTGGTTAGAAATGAACAAACCACCAATAGCCAAGATAACTGGGAGTGTGGTGATTACTTTGCCCACAAACACAGCAGAGCTGGATGGCTCCAAGTCCTCAGATGACAAAGGAATAGTCAGCTACCTCTGGACTCGAGATGACGGGAGCCCAGCAGCAGGGGTAAGTGTGCCAAGGGTTGGAGAGCTACCTAAAACCTAAGTGGTGAGATGGGGAGGGGAGGATGAGCCTAACATTCCGGAATGTGTTTTTACCAAGTGGTCCTTTGTATCAAACCTGGATTGCTCTTTGGGAGCCAGGGAGATCAAATAATTTGCTTAGGGTCATTCTGCAAGCTACTGTGGCACAGGATATGTTTATCTCCTTTGATCCTAGCAGCTTTGGGCTGCATTGCTGTTACAGAGCCAGAATTGCCCAGAGTTGAAGCAGTCTAGCACAGGGGGCTTAGTTATTACAGAAGCAATGACTGACTCTCAGAAAGGAATAGTATTTTGTTCTGCAGCATTGCCTTGTTGTTCAACCCTACAGGAGGTATTAAATCACTCTGACCATCATCCTATCCTCTTCCTTTCCAACCTGGTCGAGGGAACCTACACATTTCATCTGAAAGTGACTGATGCAAAGGGTGAGAGTGACACAGACCGGACCACTGTCGAGGTGAAACCTGGTGAGTTCACTTAGTGATGAGACCGAGTGGGATCGCTGGATCAGCCAGTCACAACCTCTCTCCTGAGACCCCTTTCCTCCAGCATGAACAGGGCCAGATGGCATGTCCAGCTTTTTAAAAAATTCTAGAAACCCCAAGCTGAAAAATCCTCAGAGATTATCTGTTTCAACAATACTTCTCCACGAGGCATATAGACCTCTCCCAAGTTGTCTCTGACGGAGAGACTGAAACTCAGAGAGGGCAGGGCTTGCTCAGTGTCACACAGCAGTTGTGTCAGAGCCAGGCCTTTGTGCCCCTCATCCAGTGCTTTCTTTTCTACATGTGACTGAGGAGAGAGGGCTCAGGGTGCGCTGGGAATTTGAGCACTAGAATAGCTGGAGTCATGATGTCTCATCAGCACCCAGATTCAGAAAACAATTTATAAGTTAAGCCTCAGGCTTTATCTGACAACCCAGGGAAGGTAAAGTAACTGGTGTTCTTTACATTTTTCAGATTTGCAGAAATAAAATTTCCTTCTTAAATAGAACCATGTTTTTGTTTTGCTTTGAGGCTAATTTGGTGATTGAGCAGAACTGTATGTGGGGGTAGGGTGGAGATTTATAAATTCCTGAGCATGTGATGAGAAGGTATTAACTTTAAACCTACACTTTATTATGTAGGCCAAGCTCATCTGAATGTCTTAGATGGGAATGATCTTGGGAGATCTTCCAGTCCTTGTCCTACCTCTAGGAAGGATGACATTCAAGACACTAAAGATCTCTTTTGTGTTTAAAGTCAGATCACAGATAGTCTACAGATTATACATCAGAAAGGCAAATTGTGAATCCACGTACATGAATAAGGTATTCTGAACAGTTTTAACTTCCAAATGTAGACTAGTCTTTGGGATGTATTCAAAAGTAAAACACAACAGCTTCACAGCTCTAGAGTTGTAAAAAGATAGTGTGGCAACAGTGATGTTGCTATAAACAAATCTTATTTCTTGGCTGCCTGGATTTTCTTTAACTATGCAGGACAGGTGCATTCCCATTAATGATAAGATTGTTGAGATGGACACGTTCCCCTCTCTGTATTGCTCTGAAGGACGAAGATAGACCAAGTACAGCAAGTCATCCGAAATCAGATGTGAGTTGGGAGAGACTGCTTTCTACCCACCACTAGGCCTGGAGAGTTCAGCAAAGCCAGTCGGGCAGGGGCCTTTAAAGAAACATCGAAGTGTTTCTCTCCTCCCTACCTCCCTTCACCAAACTCCTGTTGCCTCATTTATCCCCAGCACATGCATGGTAATTCTCAGATTGGTATAGAGACCAGGAGTGCTTTAGAAGCTTTCCAAGCCAGCCCCAGATGGAATTATTAGAATTCACTATTGTTTCTTTCCATTTGAAGGGGTCATTTGCACTTCTGAATGATCTCACCTCTCCCGTGCCAAAGCAAACACACAGAGACAGGTCTGTGTTACCTCTCCTACTTCTAAAGCCATGACTGATCCACATGCTTTCCAGATCCCAGGAAAAACAACCTGGTGGAGATCATCTTGGATGTCAACGTCAGTCAGCTAACTGAGAGGCTGAAGGGGATGTTCATCCGCCAGATTGGGGTCCTCCTGGGGGTGCTGGATTCCGACATCATTGTGCAAAAGATTCAGCCGTACACGGAGCAGAGGTAGCTGGGCAATGAATGGGGGGAGAAAAGGAAAGACCAGGGGCCCCCTGGGCTTCTTGATTAAGCTGAGAAATAGTTTGGATAGATAGAGAAGGGTGGGCTCTCTGACCAGGAACCATTCATGGTGTCCATTCCTTTAATAAACTAGACACTGCAGCAGAGTACTGGAGGCACGAGGTCAGAGGAGGTCCATAAGTTTTGAAGTCCACTGTCTATTTGGGGAGAGAGTCAGGTAGACATGGAACAACAGTACAGGGTGGATTTGACATAATATGTGGTATCTTGGAAACACAGAAGCAAGAGCAATGAATTCTTCCAAGAGAGTTAGGGTGCAGGGTAGCCCAAAGATTTCCCAGAAGAAGTCTAAGTTGCATTGGCAGGCATAGGAGGACTAGCAGGAAATTTGGAACAGGGGAGCAACGTGAGCAATGACTGGTGTACAAATGCAGAGATTCTTCTTCCTTTAGAAGCAGGATGTGGAAGAAGGTAAGTCTGGCCATATAGATTGAGAACAGTCATATGCAAGTCCAGGAGTTTGGTTTTTAATAGTTTTGTCAGGTGAACCCAAGTTGGTTTGTTTTTTTTTAAGTGTGAAGTTTTCATTTGTTTTTAAAAGCAAGGAAATTCCATAATCAGATTTTTTTCTTTTAAGAGAGACTGGTATTATGGAGGTTAGACTAAGATAGGGAGAGATCAAAGGCTGGGAGATCAATCAGGAAGCTTTTGGACTAGATCAGTAAAAGGGTAATGAAGACCTAAATTAGGGTAGTGGCAGTGGTGATGGCAGAAGAGATGAAATTAAAAGACATTTCAGAGGTTAAATCAGCAGAACTTGGTAATCCTTTGGGAATGAAGCTTAATGAGGCATCACATATGAGGCTTTTGGTTTGGGTGACTGGATAGATGATGAATTCCATTAACTAGATGAGGGATGCAGAAGGAGCCAGTTTAGAAGGAAAGAGAATTAGTGTAGTTTGACTGTTGAATTTGGAGATGTTCCATCAGATAGCAGCAAGTATAGGCTGGGAATTAGAATGGAAGGAAAAGCCAGAGATAGGGAGTCACCAGCACACAGGCTGGAGTCAAATCCACGAGGGTAGTGAGTCACACTGGGAGAGTGTCAAGAGGGTTGAGGACAGGACTTTCTGTAGGGCACCAATATTTCAGGAGAAGGAGAGAAGGAAGAGTCAGCAAAGGAAACTAAGAAATAGCCATCAGAATGGAAGGAGGAACACCAGGCAGGAGTGATCTGCTGGAAGTCATGGGCTATCTGGCAGTAGGGGGCTGATTGAAGGATTCAGATGTTACAGGGATGGGGTGGGGTGGTGAGAACACAAAACAGGTCTTTGAGTTTCTGATTAATAGTAGATCATCAGAACTTCAGCGAGAGCATTTTTCTTAGATGTTAGGAGCAGAGGATAAAATGCATGGTTTGAGGATACGGAGATGGTAAGAGTAACATCTCTTTGAGGAAATTTGTGTTGAAGGTAATAGGGGAGATAGGATCAAAAAATACCTTTTAAAGATAGGAAGTACTTGAGCACATTTATAGACTGAGGGGAAGGTGCAGAGGCAAAGGAGGTGGTAGAGACCAGGGGTGGTTAACAAATGGAGAAAGGTTTGAGGGGACTGGCGGTGAGTCAGAGCAGGATCAGTACAGCCTCTGGAGAGAGGAGGAAGGGAAGGAAGATGTGCTATTATGGATGAGTTCAGAGGTAGCAGGGATGAAATTTGAGTGTGTTGGTACCAGCGTCCTGTGTTTTGTCTGTGAAACTGGAGGCAAGGCCATCTGCTTTGAGGAGATGGGGATGAGGTGGGGAGCCTGAGGAAAGTGGTAAAGGTTGGGAGCACAGCCCAGGAAAGAATGGTGGCTTTGAGCAAAATTGGAGTCTCAGCGAAGGTCAGAGACATGAGGTGAGAGCCGTGGCCCCCAGCTCTAGCTACCATTAGACTCCCTGGGGAGCTTTTATGAACACATCACTGCCCAAGTGTCACCCCTGAGATTATGATGCAGTTGATCTGGAGCAGGGCCTGGGCTCGCCAGGTGAATCTAATATGCAGTCAGCGTTCACTGAGTTCACTAAGCTGGGAGTAGGAACAGGGAAAGTGGCTGTATGGATTGATCTAAGTTGGTGGAATTGGCTGGGTAGGAGCAGCGGAAAGACACTAGCAAGAGTGCTGCTAAGAACATTGTTGAAGGGTTTGACCACAGACTTGCCATGGCTGCATATGGGGGATGAGGAGGAGAGAAGCATCAGTGATGACTCTGGGTTTCTGGTTTGGATGGTGGCTGAATTGAATAAGCTGAAGAATGCAGGAGGGGGATGAGATTGGAGGGAGAGAGTATATTACAATGGAAAAGAGCATAGGCCTTATGCTGGACAGATCTGGCTTCTGATCCCTGCCCATTAGTGTTAGCTCTGTGACAGTGGGCAAGTTACTTAACCTCTCTGAACTGGTTTTATCACCTATAAAAATAGTAGTACCTGTTTTATAGGATTGCTGTTGAGGATTAAGTACGATAATGTTTGTATAGTCCCTAACACATAGTGTTCAATTAATGGTCATTATTATGAGTTTATTTTGAGACTGTGGAAGATGTGGGGTGGAGACTCTAGCAAGCATTTTCAGATATAGATTCGGTTACTCAGGAGGAGAGGAAGAAGAGAGAAAGAAAAGAAGGTCACTCATGGGGAGACGAGATGAAGATTTGAGGGTTTTGGACTATAGACAGAAATTCAATCTGTAAGCATGGATTAGGTAACTGGGGGAAATAATGGGAACTGGACCATAACGTTTTATGGCAAAGGTTTGTTTTGTGATTCCGGAGTCTGTAATGCCTCATTGTTAGCCTCACTGTGCAGCAAAGTTTTAAAGAGTCTGTGACAGTGTTCCCAAACTTTTATGTCATGCTTCACATAGGAAATGATACTATTTATATGACCCTTTGGGATAGACAAGGCTCCTTGTACTGGAGGCAACTGGTCCAGGGCCTCTGGAAAACCCAGGTCCCACCCATCCACCCTGCAGACCAAAGGGAACGATATCTTGGACACACCTATAACCCAGTGTGAGCCACTGATTGGAAAGGTTTGTTTATGAGACTAACATGGAATTCAGGAAGCAGTCTACCAAAAATTGAGGTTAAGACATAGGGAACAGATTTTATGCTACCGGATAAGAGTTCAGACCCAGTCTGTCTTGGACAGAAATTGACAGTCAGAAAGCAATCAGATTCTGGGCATGGAGTAACATAATTTCACACCAGCCACACCATTGTGTAGGGTTGTCTTGTTGTCATAGTAACGATCGCCATGCCTATGTTTTGACCTCTGGATAATGCTTTACAAAGCATGGTGGTTTGTGGTAGGAGTAACCCAGGCAGAAACCTAACAGCACCACAGTTGTAGCTGTAAAAAGGTTGACAGCAGGAATCTATACATAATCAAATTCCCATTTTTCTCTCCCTCCAGTTTGTAATTTGGAGTGGCCCTGTTGTTAGCCAGGGCAACTTAGGGCATTTTTAAAAGTATAGGCTTTGGAGTCAGATATATCAGGGTTGGGATACATCAGGGTTGGGATCTGGCTCTGCCATAAATTAACTGTGTGACCTTGGGCAAGTTACTTAACCCCTCTGAGCCCCAGTGCTGTCCTCTGTAAAATGGGATGATGCTGGTAACCCCTTTCTTACTGGCTTGTTGTGAAGAGAATGCGTATAGTACTTAGCACAGTGGCTGGTGCAAACGGAAGGTGCTCAGCAAATGGGAGCTGCTGCTATTGTTGTTAATGCTGACAGCTTCAGCTCACTCATACTGTCGCATGTCTCTGCAGCACCAAGATGGTATTTTTTGTTCAAAACGAGCCTCCACACCAGATCTTCAAAGGCCATGAGGTGGCAGCAATACTCAAGAGTGAGCTGCGGAAGCAAAAGGCGGAGTTTCTGGTATTCGGAGCCCTGGAAATCAATACTGTCAGTGAGTAATTCTGGGGAGTGGGAGCAGGAGCCTCATCTCACCTGTCGGCCCCTGCTTTCCTCGGCCTTCCTCTCCTCTTAGGGAATGTGGAGATGACCAGTCTCCTCCACGGCCATCATCATGAAAGAGTGCTGGCTGACTCATTGCAGGGGCTCTTAACCCGGGTCCACGGGCCCCTGAGAGTGCGGTCAGAGGGGCTGTTTGCTTGACTGGGAGGGAATTACATCTTTATTTTCACAAACCTCTAACTGAAATGTATTATTTCCCTCAATTATGAAGGTAGGCAACAAACTGCAGTAATATTAACAGAACCTGTGAGTTTGAGGCAGTAGAAATCACAGATAAATTTCATCTCACATTATATGACAACATACCATTTTTGCTTATCACTACAAAATTACAATAGTTTCTATATCCACTTCTAGATGTTGTTATTCAGTGCTTTAATAAAGACACATATTATTATTTCACAAATTTGTGTTCCTGAATATTTTAAAAATAGACTTTTCAATATAATTGCTTTTCTTTGTAATACTATTTATTTTTGCAATTAAATTATTTCGAGGAGGTCTATGGGACCAAAAGATTAAGAACTGCTGATATAGAGAAACCACAAGTGAAGGTGGACTGAACTGTCTCTTCATGGCCTTCCTTAATTGCTCCAGTTTTATCCAGCCATGATGGTTATTCTGAGCCACAGCCCAAGCTTAAAAGCTCTTGGCTAAGGTCCCGGGGGAATGTTGCCACACGGCATTGAGCAGTGGGTACTTTAGTGTCTTTATGGGCGCTGGGTGCCTGCTGTCCCCGCTGGCTCTGACTTGTTTCCCTTTCCTGCCCCCTTCAGCATGTCAGCTGAACTGTTCTGACCATGGCCACTGTGACTCATTCACCAAGCGCTGTGTCTGTGACCCTTTTTGGATGGAGAATTTCATCAAGGTGCAGCTGAGGGATGGAGACAGCAACTGTGGTGAGTTTTCTGCTTGGCACTGTGCCAGCTGGTTTGGCACTGAATGTGCTTCTGAGCTGAGTAGGTGGGTGTTGGTGTTGGCGAGGCAGATGAACAGGCAAGGAGAAGAACTTTGTGTTTTTCTGTTTGCAAAAGACTTTTACTTCCTTCCTCCACACTTGCTTAAGGTTAGAGGCAAGCTCTGAAGCAGTCACGTAAGGAAAACCAAGCTTAAATCAGACCGTTTGCAAATTGCAACCTAAAATCTGACCAACTGCAAGGCCTCCTGTCTTTTTGGAGTGCCTGCCTGCAGGTTCCTGTTCCTTCCATTGCCCTCTCTCTCCAAGCTCTTTACGGCCAGCCCTGCTGCCCCAGGAGCTCAGAGCATGCCTGGAGCAGGAACTGGAAAGCAGGAGCAATTCTAAAGGTGCAAAACTTCAGCTGCCCTCAGCTCCAAGGTCTTGTCTTCACTGGGGAGCCCTAGGGCAATTCTTGTTCACAGAGTGAAGCCACCTCCTGCCTGAGGTGCAGGCAGCCCAAACCTACCTTCTAGCCTCTATCTTCATGGCCTCACCATTTTGTTTTTCTTGACAGAGTGGAGCGTGTTATATGTTATCATTGCTTCCTTTATCATTGTTGTTGCCTTGGGAATCCTGTCTTGGACTATGATCTGTTGTTGTAAGAGGTAAGATGGATTCTCCTTTGAAATTTATTAGGCCTCCCAGTCATGTATTTATTCAACAGATAACTGTTTAATACCTTCCACTTGGAAGGTCCACTGCTGCTGTCCTGGTTTCCCTCCCTTTCCCACTCTGTTATTGTGGTTTGGCCCGCCCAAGGCATGTGCAGAAAGGCCTTCCTCACCCTCTAACCTGCCTGAGGGCGGAAGCACACTCCCTCAGTGACAGTGGCTGCCTCCGCAGTGTTTTGCAACCTGTAAAACGTGGCCAGGGTGGAGGTGAGGGTGGGGGGACCTGTAGGGGTGTGTAGGTGCGAGGGCCTGGGGTGTGGGCCTGGATCACATCTGTAAGGTGCGTGTCCTTTAATACTGCACACCTCAGCCTCACCACCTTAACACCCAGTTCTTAGTTCTGCCTTTCTTTCTGGTTGAGTCTTAACTGGATACATGTTTCCACATAATTGTAGACTTAGATTAGTCATAATTAGATGCTCTGGATTTTTTTTCACTTGAGTTTTCCTATCTAGTCTTATAGTATTTAATGGTTATATTTACTATATGTCTTTCATGATTAATAATAAGTATGATTTCTGTGTTTACTGTGTGCCAAGCACCATGATAACATTTTATAGGTAATATCTTTTTTAAGGAGTTTCTGGGTGGCGCAAATGGTTAAGCACTCTACTACTAGCCAGAAGACTCTGGCAGTTGGAACCCACCCAGAGGTGCCTTGGAAGATGGGCCTGGGGATTTGCTTCTGAAAGGTCACAGCCTTGAAAACCCTATGGAGCAGTTCTATTCTGCACACGTGTCTTCTTTAATATGTATAACAATCCTTTCCCATCTTACAGATAAGGAAACTTAAGTTGAGGAAAGCTATAGCACATGTTCAAGGACACAGTTGATAAGTGGCAGAACTGGGATTCAGCCTACAATCTAACCTCATATAAAACTTAGAAAATTAAAAGAATTGTTAAAAATTTCCACTACCCTAAGACAACTACTGTTAACAACTTTCTTTGTGTAATACTTTCCTCCTCCTCTGCCCCTCAAGCACAGGGTTTTCATTTTCTTTACATTTTTAACCAGTCTATCCTGCATTGCCTCTGTGGAGTGGTGAGTAGTGGTATATCTCCCTTGCCTTTTTCCAGAATTGGTGAGGAACATTTGAGGAACAAATCACAGTTTCCACTTTCCCTGCCTGAAAAGAGAGGAGGAATACTCTTCCTATTAAGCAGGTTCCCCCAGGACAGGCCCCTACATGCATGTCTGGCCCTCACCCTGTGGTTGGCCACCTGAACCTCATACACAGCCTCTTTCCTGAGCAGGGATGGGCTTGTGTTTTTTAGGCAAAAAGGAAAACCTAAGAGGAAAAGCAAGTACAAGATCCTGGATGCCACCGACCAGGAAAGTCTGGAGCTGAAGCCAACCTTCCGAGCAGGTAGTGGCCTGGGAGCTGGGAGCAAGGTGTCTAGGTTTGTGCACTCTCCCTGTGAAGAGCCACTGTCTCTAGTCCCTTCCTGAATGTTGAATATGCTGCTGACAGCTATTTGTTGGTGCTGGAAAGGCATTTCCCCCTCACCTGATCAAGGCTGGGAGTCAAATTTTCCCTGAGCTGACAGAAGCTACATACTGGACAAGCTGTGGTTCCAGGGCCCCCTTCTCTGTGTACCTTTCACTTTACAGAGGGGCTAGGCCTCTGGCTTTCCTTTGCCTGCTGCTGATCCTCAGGTTTGCTGCCTAGAGTTAAGCTTTCCAAGCTGCCGCATGTAGTCAAGGATAGGGACCTTGGCCTCTTTTGCCTGACCAGTCTGTCCTTTCTGGGAAGACAACAAGGTGAAGAAGAGCTGAGATCAAAGCCAGCATCTGCCAGTTTACATCACTTTTAGCCAGCCTGCCTCTCCCATCTTCCCTCCCCATCATTTGGCAGATCCACAGCCTTTGTCATTGTCGTAGAGCAGGCGGGCAGCAGCTTCCCTGCTGGCTCCAGGTGCATCGGGCTCACTGTTAGTGCCTCCCACCAGAATAGTTTCCTACAGCACAAGCACTAAGATGACTGTCGGTGATGATGCCCGAGAGTTAGGACAGCTAGTGGTCTCTCTTCCATAGCTGGGCTTGGTCACTTGGTGAGAGTGATACCATAGGCCGGGTATCGTCTGCTTATGGGAGCTGGTCTCTTTGTAAAGCTACTTCTAAATTTTTACACAAAGTAGTTATTAAGACACCTTTCATACTTAAAGCTTTACATCAGGGAGAGGCTGTAGGGGAATATAGAGAGTCTAAGACACGGGCTCTGCCCTCAGAGTTTCAGTCTTGTGAAGAAGAAAAGACCTGTCAGAAGAAACTAATAGTTACAGACAGCTGGGCTCTGCACCAGGTAGCTCTATTAGAGAACGCCCTGGGGTGGTGCTTGGAGGTGATGGGGATTGAAACGAGCTCCAGTAACCAGAGAAGTGGGAGCAGAACGTTCTGCGCAGAAAATACTGAAATAAAGGTCTGGAGGCAAAATGTGCACAGTCTACCCCACACAGCAGCCAAGGTTGTCTTATCTTGCTGCTCTGACCACATTCTCCCACCCTTAAAATCTGCCAATGACTTTCTGTTTCCAACACAGTGAAGATAGAACTTTTTGGTCTCGTAAACATGGCCTTTGTCATCTTACATCAGTTTACTTTTCTGGGATCTTCCTCCTTGCTGATTTCTCTTAACAGTTTCTTATGGTTCTTATCTTTGTCCAGAAAGCTCTTATTCCTCCTTAACCTCCTAGTTAAAGTTGTGTTTGTCTTTCTCTTAAATGTCTGTTGGAGCGTTTCTCTCACTGTATTATGATTTGTTATGTATTTGTCTGTCCCCTTACCAGTTGGTGAAATCCTTGAGTGGGGGGACTGTATCTTACTCACCTGTGAATATGGATTGAGACCACTGCATGCCAGGCCCTATGCCAGACGCTGGTTATATTGTGATGAACCGAACAAACGGACTATGCTCTAGGGTAGTTATATCAGACAGACATTACCCAAATACATTCACAAATACACCAAGTGTGATAAGGAAAGGTCTTCGTAAGAATAACACTTAAGCTCAGACCTGAAGGAGTTAGCCAGGTAAAGACTCCAGAAAATAGCATTCCAGGCAAAGAAACAAAATAGTGAAGGCCGGGCTGCTGGAAGGAGCAGGGCCTTCGAGGAAGCAGAAGGCGGCAATACGCTGGACGTGGTGAGCAAGGGGTCGGTAGCACGAGACTGGAGAGGTAAGCAGGGACCTTGTTGTGGATTTCCTTTTGAGAGCAATGGGGAACTACTGATTGTTTTTTTAAAGGTTGAATATGTGATTTGATTTACATTTTAAAAGGAAATTGTGGCTGCTGTTGGAAGAAATTGTAGGGAGGCAAGAGTGGGTGAGAGATTAGAAAGAATGTTCTTACAATGGAGACATGATGAAATAAAGAGAGGCAGATAGATTTAAAATACACTTTGAGGGAAGACTTGATGAGATTGTGATATGTTGGCCAAAGGGTGTGAGAGAAAGGGAGATGTGAAGGGTGATTCTCAGAGATGTTGTTTGAACATCTCTGTGGATTGGGTGGTGTCATTCCCTGGGAAATGTTGGAGAATATCAAGTGTCTGGTTTAGGACAGTTATGAATGGAGTTGAGACTGGAGGATTGACTAGGACCAAACTGGAAAGTTTTGAACGTCAGCCCAAGAAGTTAAATGTTCTATCCTAAAGGTGACATTTTGGAAGTGCTCGTTTCAGAAAATTAGTCTGGTGCCACCGTATAATAGACTGAAGGGGAGAGATTGCAGGTCGGGGGGCCAGCAAGGAGATTTTTGCAATAGTCTAAGGAGGAAGTGATGATTGCTCAGTGTGGTGTCAGCGGGGATGGGAGGACAAACTGAGAGACAGAGAATGATAGTGCTGTTGATGAAATTGGGGCCATCTGGTGCAATGACTGGGTAAGAGAAGATGAATTAAATTGATGGGGAGAATGAGAAGGGACAAAAGAGGTCCAGAGCTGACGAGCCCAAGAAGAACTATCGGGGGGAGGAAGAGACTCATGAGGGAGGGTCATTAGTGTTTGATGCTGCAGAGGCCAAAGGATAAGAGTTGACGACAACATTGGAGAAGTCACTGGTCACCTAAAGTGTTAGAGTAGAAGGATGAATGACGGCAGAAGTGGAAGTGGAAGTACAGGTCATTTAGGAAGCAAGCAGGTGTTGAGGAAACAGAGGCCCTAAATATAGAAAATTCCTTTTAGAAGTTGATCACTGAAAACTGGAGGAGAAGCAGGACAGGAGTTCAAGGGGACAGCCAGGTCAAGGATTCTCTTGGATAGGAGATTCATGAGCACATTTGCAGCAGAGATGCAGAAAATAGGGGGGTCCTTGTAGAGGTGAGGTCCTTGAGGAGAAAGGAGGAAGTAGGGAATAAAGGGGAAGAGGGAAGCTGTGGGGTTAATTTACCTCTTCTGAGGCAGGAGGGAAGGAAAAGATGGGTGATGGCACCAAGAAGTACTGAGATGCAGAGAAACTGGAAGTAGGCCTGGTCTCAGCACAGCAGGCTTCTTACTTAGCTAGAGGCAGGGAGGGAAAGGTGGGCACAGGGTGTGGGCACAAGGATGGACCGTCTGCATCTAGGTAAGCAAAGCCGACATTGTGAGACTAGAAGAGGGTCGGCAGGGCCCTTCTTTGTCGGCAGCGCCTGGCTGAGGGAGCAGTAAGAGTTCACTTGAATTTGGCATGGGCCTGACCAACCCAGAAGCACTGGCTCATGTTCTGGGCTGCTAATTAGCAAGTCTAACCCAGAGCAGAGTCACGAATAGGATGAGAAGAGTGGGATACAAGATCATATTGCATATGGTATGTTGTTGTTGTTAGGTGCTGTTGACTCAGTTCTGACTTACAGTCACCCTGTGTACAACAGAACGAAACACTGCCAGGTCCTGCGCCATCCTCACAGTCGTTGCTATGTTTGAGCCCATTGTTGCAGCCACTGTGTCAGTCCATCTTGTTGAGTGTCTTCCTCTTTTTTGCTGACCCTTTACTTCATTCACCAAGCATGATGTCCTTCTCCAGGGACTGGTCCCTCCTGATAGCATGTCCAAAGTATGTGAGATGAAGTCTCACCATCCTTGCTTCTAAGGAGCATTCTGGCTGTACTTCTTCCAAAAAAGATTTGTTCGTTCTCTGGCAGTCCATGGTATATTCAAAATTCTTCACCAACACCATCATTCAAATGCATCAATTCTTCTTCGGTCTTCCTTATTCATTGTCCAGCTTTCGCATGCATATGAGGCGATTGGAAACACCACGGCTTTGATCAGGCCCACCTTAGTCCTCAAGGTGACATCTTTGCTTTTTAACATTTTAAAGGAGTCTTTTGCAGCAGATTTGCCCAGTGCAGTATGTCGTATAAGATACGGAGCTGAAGTTTAGTTTGGAGAAGGCAGATTTAGTTGGGCCATGTGGCAGGAAAAGGCAGTGACTGTGAAGTGAGCCAAGCTCCCACTGTTTGCTGGGAGGCAGGTTTAGCTCAGGATGAGGAATAACTAGAAATCAGAATGGTCTCACCCTGAGGGAGCATGGAGCTCTTGGGCACCAAAGGTCACCAGAAGCATGGTAGGATATCTGCCCTCTGGAGGTCCCTTCTGGCCACTTAGTATCAGAGACAAATGTACACCACTTGTGTTGTAATTACATTATCCACAGAGCTGTGGTATACATTCAGCAGCTTGGGTGTTTTGTTTTTGCAGTCTTTTGATTTTTTTCAAAAGTTCCTATTGAAGTATATTTGATTGAACCATATGAACTTACTGATATTTGACTTTGACCTTTAAAAATGGCAGTTTTATATGGTTCAACCTAATATGTACAGAAAATCCTAGTACAGCTTATGGGTTTTCCCATATGAACATGCCTGTGTGACCAGACCTTCAGAAGTCTCAGCTTTGTGCTTCTTTCCAGTTATCCACCCCCTCTTAACTTCTGATATATTGAAATGTTTTGCAAGATGGGATCATTGTTTGGCTCCTTTCAATCAATATTACATTTAAGAGATTCACCATGTTGCTGTGTACGGAAGTAGTTCATTCTCATTGCTGTATATTTTCCACTGTATAAATACACTACATTGATTCACCAGTTATACTATTGATGAGCAATTGCATTATTTCCGTTTGTGGCTATTATGAAGAGTACTGCTGTGAACATTCTAGTACATGCCTTTTGGTGGACATATGTTTGGATTTCTGTTATGTGTATACCTGGGAATGGAATTGCTGGGTCATCGAATATGTGCATGTTCAGCTTTCACTAATATTTACCAGTTTTCCAGCTTGTATTTTTTAATGGGTAAGTCCACATTCAAGCATAACGGGAGCAGGGAAAGCTAGTGGTGGGAGGGTGCTGGGCGAGTGCTGGGTACTGTGAGGCCAGAAACATGT